ATTGAAAATCTAATCCGACCATACACACAAATTCATCGAGCAAGGCCAATCCCATTCGATTTTTTCACCTTCAAGAAACATTCTTGTTGCAGACGACGAAGAGAATTAACCTCAAGAACGTGTGTAATCGAAGAAAGTCAATTTTCGGTTCAAATTGGGGGTAAGTATCAAATTCCTATCTACGGTCTATTTTTCTTCAAATTGAGAATTCCTTTAGCTTATGAAGATTGAGATGAGTAATTTTGATAAGAAATCGAAAATGTCGTAGATTAAGCTGCCAAAGAAAGTTTAATTTGGTGTTTTTGGGTGATTTGCTGACCAAAGAAAATTTCTCCAAATTCAGGTCACACACTTGAAAACTTTCCCCCAAACCAATTCAGTTAGCTAGAGGTAATATAAAGAAGGGATTCCCGGAAAACCCTTAGAAATGGCTAGCCAATAAGCTTTTTCTAGGTTGAGCTCCGGTGAGGAAAACAATTCTTGATGAGCTCCGGTGAGTTATAGCCATTTAGTTTTTTTGTTTCTACTCTTGAGTTTTATCAAAATTTGAGAGAAATTCTCCACCATTTCCCTTCAAAATTGTTCCTAAGCCATCTAAACAAGATTACCCACAAGTTCTACAAAGGAGCGAAGCACTGAATGAGCCAAGAACCCATTCCCTAGTACGAATGACCATTGAAAAAGTTCAAAGAAAGATTGAAAACCTAATCCGACCATACACACAAATTCATCGAGCAAGGCCAATCCCGTTCGATTTTTCACCTTCAAGAAACATTCTTGTTGCAGACCACGAAAAGAATTAACCTCAAGAACGTATGTAATCGAAGAAAGTCAATTTTCAGTTCAAATTGGGGGTAAGTATCGAATTCCTATGTAGAGTCGATTTTTCTTCAAATTGAGCATTCCTGTTGTTTACGAGGATTGAGATGAGTAATTTTGATAAGAAATCAAAAACGCCCTAGATCAAGCTGCCAAAAAAAGTTTAATTTGGTGGTTTCGGGTGATTTGCTGATTAAAGAAAATTTCTCTAAATTAAGGTCACACACTTGAAGACTTTCCCCCAAACCAATTGAATTAGCTAGAGGGAATAATGAAGAAGCGATTCCCGGGAAACCCTTAGAAATGGCTAGCCAATACGCTTTTTCTAGGTTGAGCTCCGGGAGGAAATCAATTCTTGATGAACTTTGGAGGATAATTTTATCGTACAATCCACAAGAAGGTAAGAAATCAATCCCTTCCTTTTCCTTTTGACTCTGTTTTTAAGTTTCTTGAAGAAATCGAGGGGGAGAAGTGAACGGAGTTGGAGAGGTAAGGTTTCAAGCAGTGTGACCCTTGCGTAACAACAAGTAAAGTGACAAATCCTCGAGTGATACCAATCAGACCATGCAACAACCAAAATAGACAATCCATCAAGTGATGGACGCACCAAAGAAAGACAAGCTAAGAAATAGGCAACACAAATGCAATGATTTTGACATAATTATCAAAAATAGGCTTTTTCAAGACTAAGGCAGGCCCTGAGCATTAACCTCTAAAGCTTGAGTGAGAGAGAATTTGGGTACATAGTTTTGGAAATAAATCCATCTATATGAAATATAAAAGCTCACAAGATTTTGTGTCAATCGAAGACCATACGATGCTTTATGACAGCATATGATTGTTTGCCTAAAGCATGTTCACACTCCCATATTTGAAATAGTTCAAAACTTAGAGGGAGGAATGGTGTAAACTCTCCACCACCCCTAAGCCCTGTTGCCTAACTGAGCTAACCTGCAGCATATGTATGTGTCACAATAAAGGTGAATGTTGCTAGACGTGTGCCTCATATGACTTGCATGGAAGATGTTGTTTGAAGAATAGTATATGAAACGCCCTATTTTCTTAGCCAAAATTAGTGGTGTTACACAGACATGCTTTAATCTCAAAGTCTAAAGTTCATAATAAATAATTTTAAAATAAATTTGTGGACTTATATATTTAATTTAAAACAATAAATTAAACCTAACATATTTTTTAAATATAAAAAAATTGCATTTAAAACACTTCTCAACTACTAAATAAAATTCAATTCGTTCTACTGCTCTATCATGCCCTATTTTGAGTTCCATGATATTTTCAGCGTTCACCGTCATCCGAGCGTGGAGCTTTACCTTTATGTGGAAAGTATAAGGGAAGCATGTGGCTTGAGTATTTTACGAAATACTCAGTAAATCATCCGACGGTTGGGTTTAGCAATGCAATCATACACATAACATGATTGAGACCTATCTTAAAATCGTCACATGTGCTTGGACTATTTTCAGTTTGGGGCAAAGTGGGTTCATATATGTACCCCTGGGCCTGACATGTTCAGGCTTAATGGGTTACACGTCGCCAAACGCCACCGAAAAGGAAAGACCCCCATGATATCATGGAAAACATATATATCTTAGGTACACATCCGTATTAACATAACATAACGGGAAAGTATCCCGATGCACATGACACACATACATGCATGAATTGCCCATGATTTACATTTAAAACATAGTATTAACGTCATTCCTTTTCTCATTTCATCCATGACATATTCCATACATGCACTATGTATACCTAGTAAACATCACATAGTACATCATTTTTCAATTCTATTCTTACATAGCATTTCATTTTATTCCTAACATGATATAATTGACATGACATTGTATACATAATAAAACGTCACATTTCAATGCATAAAGCACACAAGCATAATATAAAAAATATTATGGTGTATGTTGGAGCCCCAAGGTTACTTACCTCATTAGCTTAAGTGGTTGTCACTGATTTACTTAACTAATTCTTTAAAGTAACATTCAAGTCAACCTAGGTGAGCCAATGACATCATATTCAGGTTTGAACTTCTAAAGAATTATTTATCTAATTTACAATGATCTATATTTTCAAGTAAAATATTTTTGGTATTTAATTTTTAAAAAATAAAAAATAAAACAAATCTAAATAATTAGAACAAATTAAAGATAAAAGAGAAGGAAGACTGTATAAGCAACATCTTTCTCATTAAATCTGGGATATAAATTATTTTTTAATTGAATACTTTTAGATGTTAAAATAATTAATTATGATTCTAGTCCAAAAAAAAGTCTTGTGATATTTTTTTTTCCAGTTAAAGTTTATGATATTTTTTTTTTCCAGTTAAAGTTTAAATATACACCTATAGCTAATTGAGAATATTCATTATCAATAATATGTTGATTTATGATAATGACAATAAAAAATAAGAAACAAATAGAATATATTGAATCAACATGGCTCATCGAGTATAAAGCATGTATTGTCCGCTAAAAGTCGATTAAAATGTTGTTTTAATCTATTGCCAAACATTTTGTTAAACTAAAAGAATTTGATATCTCTCTTAATCTTAAATTTATGTATTATCTTTAAATTCTTAAATATGCATACTGAAATTTTAGTTTGTTTGACCACCATTGCCATGACTCAATGGGAGGAACACTATGCCTTAAAGATGTTACTGTTAAACGTAAAATAGATCATATCTGTATATACTAAGATAATCTAGGATTTACTAGTTTGTTACCAAATCTATGATTTGAAGGGTTTGTTACCAAATCATAGATTTAGAATGTAATCTTCATTATACACATCTATAAATACATGAGGTCGTGACCCATATAGGTCATTGTGCCATTCAATCTAACATGGTATCAGAGCCAAGGTTTATTTTTTAAATGTCTACCATGTCTTCTTCCTCCTCCATCCACCATCTCCAACACCGTCTCAACTACCATGGCGACTTTTGGCCCAATCCCTCTACACCATGTTGTCACAATTCGTCTAACAAAAAACAACTTCATCATATGACCCAGCTCCTCCCCTACCTACGGAGTACGAAGCTTATGGGCTACCTCGATGGCACCAATGCCGCACCTGCCAAGCTGGCCCCTTCCTCAACTATTGCTGGTACTGAGCTGGTCTCTAATCAGACCTATAATTAATGGTATGATCAGGATCAACAGGTCGGCCTTCTCTCCTCCATGTCTGAGGAGATTCTTCATGATGTGGTTGCCGCTACTACGTCCAAGGAGGCGTGGGATACCCTACAGCGGATGTTTTCATCGTCAACTCGTGCTCGTACTACTCAGATTCGTGTTGAGCTCACTACGTCCAAGAAACGAGATCAATCTGCTGTTAATTATTGTTGCAAGATCAAAGGGCTAGCCACCGAGTTGGCCGCCGCTGGGGCTCAGCCTTGTAGGATGATGATGTGATCGCGTATCTTCTCGCTGGTCTTGGCCCTGACTATGATCCCTTCGTCACCTCAATGACTACCAAGAGTGAAGCCCTCACGCTTGATGATGTGTTTGCACATCTAATGACGTATGAAGCTCGCCAACTACAACACCAGGCTGAACTTCAGTTAAATCTGGGATCTTCGGCCAATTATACTGGTCGTGCTGAACTTCAGTTAAATCTTGGATCTTCTGTCAATTATGCTAGTCGTGGTGGTCAGCAGAAGAATCATGGGCGTAGGGATCGTGATCATGGTCGTTCTCAAGGTTATGCACCTTCTCGTCTTGCTGGTGATCGTCGTGGCCCTTCTGCCTGTCCTTCCTGCCAGATCTGCGGCAAAGTGGGGCATATTGCTATCCGCTGTTGGCATAGGATGGATGAGTCCTATCAAGATGAACCTTCTTCTGCTCCTCCTACGGCATTGACGGCTACTTTCTCTTACAAGATTGACCCAAATTGGTACAACGATACAGGCGCTATGGACCATATCACCAGTGACTTGGATCGTCTCGCTGTGCATGAACGTTATCATGGAGGTGAACAAGTTCAAGTCGGCAATGGAGCAGTTTTGCGTGTTTTGCATACTGATCATTCTTTAATTAATACTGCTACTCGTCACCGTTAATAAAACGTGTTTCATTCAATTTTAAAAATATCTTTAATTAAAATAGATAATTAAAAAAAAAGATAGGAAAATGACTCCATTTAGAAAAACAATATAGAAATAATGAATTTGCCTACAAAATAGTTGTTTGGCTTAGGTTTTTCTTTGTTAATAGCCAAAGAAACATCCATGCTTAACAATTACTCTCAAGCTTGTGTGCTACTTGGTGTAATGGCCGGGGATGCAGCCTCCGGGGTTAGAGCAATGCTGCTTCCAACTGGTGTAATGGCCGGGGATGCAGACTCCGGGGTTAGAGCAATGCTGCTTCCAACTGGTGCAATGGTCGGGGATGCAGACTCCGGGGTTAGAGCAATGCTGCTTCCAACTGGTGCAATGGCCGGGGATGCAGACTCCGGGGTTAGAGCAATGCTGCTTTCAACTGGTGCAATGGTCGGGGATGCAGACTCCGGGGTTAGAGCAATGCTGCTTCCAACTGGTGCAATGGTCGGGGATGCAGCCTCTGGGGTTAGAGCAATGCTGCTTCCAACTGGTGCAATGGTCGGGGATGCAGCCTCTGGGGTTAGAGCAATGCTGCTTCCATCCGATGCAGCCTCTGGGGTTAGAGCAATGCTGCTTCCATCCGATGCAGCCTCCGGGGTTTGAGCAATGCTGCTTCCATCCGATGCAGCCTCTGGGGTTTGAGCAATGCTGCTTCCATCCGATGCAGCCTCTGGGGTTTGAGCAATGCTGCTTCCATCCGATGCAGCCTCCGGGGTTTGAGCAATGCTGCTTCCATCCGATGCAGCCTCCGGGGTTTGAGCAATGCTGCTTCCATCCGATGCAGCCTCCGGGGTTTGAGCAATGCTGCTTCCATCCGATGCAGCCTCTGGGGTTAGAGCAATGCTGCTTCCATCCGATGCAGCCTCTGGGGTTAGAGCAATGCTGCTTCCATCCGATGCAGCCTCTGGGGTTAGAGCAATGCTGCTTCCATCCGATGCAGCCTCTGGGGTTAGAGCAATGCTGCTTCCATCCGATGCAGCCTCTGGGGTTAGAGCAATGCTGCTTCCATCCGATGCAGCCTCTGGGGTTTGAGCAATGCTGCTTCCATCCGATGCAGCCTCTGGGGTTAGAGCAATGCTGCTTCCATCCGATGCAGCCTCTGGGGTTAGAGCAATGCTGCTTCCATCCGATGCAGCCTCTGGGGTTAGAGCAATGCTGCTTCCATCCGATGCAGCCTCTGGGGTTAGAGCAATGCTGCTTCCATCCGATGCAGCCTCTGGGGTTAGAGCAATGCTGCTTCCATCCGATGCAGCCTCTGGGGTTAGAGCAATGCTGCTTCCATCCGATGCAGCCTCTGGGGTTTGAGCAATGCTGCTTCCATCCGATGCAGCCTCCGGGGTTTGAGCAATGCTGCTTCCATCCGATGCAGCCTCCGGCGGGGTTTGAGCAACGCTGCTTCCATCCGATGCAGCCTCCGGCGGGGTTTGAGCAACGCTGCTTCCATCCGGGGCAGCCTCCGGCGGGGTTTGAGCAACGCTGCTTCCATCCGGGGCAGCCTCCGGCGGGGTTTGAGCAATGTTGCTTCCATCAGGTGCAGCCTCCGGCGGGGTTTGAGCAATGTTGCTTCCATCAGGTGCAATGGTCGGGGATGCAGCCTCCGGGGGGGTTTGAGCAATGCTGCTCGCGTCCGACGCTGCTGCCTCCGGCGGGGTTTGAGCAATGCTGCTCGCGTCCGACGCTGCTGCCTCCGGCGGGGTTTGAGCAATGCTGCTCGCGTCCGACGCTGCTGCCTCCGGCGGGGTTTGAGCAATGCTGCTCGCGTCCGACGCTGCTGCCTCCGGCGGGGTTTGAGCAATGCTGCTCGCGTCCGACGCTGCTGCCTCCGGCGGGGTTTGAGCAATGCTGCTCGCGTCCGACGCTGCTGCCTCCGGCGGTGTTTGAGCAATGCTGCTCGCGTCCGACGCTGCTGCCTCCGGCGGTGTTTGAGCAATGCTGCTTGCATCCGACGCTGCAGCCTCCGGAGGGGTTTGAGCAATGCTGCTTCCATCCGATGCAGCCTCCGGAGTTAGAGCAATGCTTCCATCCGATGCAGCCTCCGGAGTTAGAGCAATGCTTCCATCCGATGCAGCCTCCGGAGTTAGAGCAATGCTTCCATCCGATGCAGCCTCCGGAGTTAGAGCAATGCTTCCATCCGATGCAGCCTCCGGAGTTAGAGCAATGCTTCCATCCGATGCAGCCTCCGGAGTTAGAGCAATGCTTCCATCTAATGCAGCCTCCGGAGTTAGAGCAATGCTTCCATCTAATGCAGCCTCCGGAGTTAGAGCAATGCTTCCATCTAATGCAGCCTCCGAAGTCAGAGCAATGCTTCCATCTTGTGCTTGTGTGTCATGTGATGCAAAGGCACGAAATGAAAATTGATGATCGAGATTTACGACACCGGTGACATCACTAAAAGTGGCACCCACTTTTGCACAATACTGCCAAGAAATCACTAGGAAAAGGGTATGAAAGAGCTTGAAACCTTTGTCGACTGCCATTATGAAGTGTCTAAAAGTTATAAGGTTACAAGCTCATTTCACAAATGATGAAGAGTAGCAATTGCTAAGATGTTGGTGCTTGGATTTTTCTTACAATGTGAAGCCCTATATATAGTTTGATGGGAAAACTATATCTAGAAAAGACCACCAAATTTAGAAAGGGTGTTAAATTTTGAGGGTTTGGGAGTATTCCAAGTATAGAATTTTTTGACTATTCAATTTCTAATTTCTCCCTCCCTTCATTTGAGGATAATTAAGAATAATTATATTTTTAAATAAAAACATACCATTGCTAGCTTATGGTAATTTTGATGTGAAATAAGTTGATATTTTATGTTATTTGATATTTTCTTCACCATGAATTGTACTCGATTAGATTACTTGTCTCATTCATACAGCCCATTTATGGCATGAGGAATAAGGATGCCAGGGTATTTGTAGTTTTGAAACCACATTGGTTATAGTAAGGTTATTGTAATTCTTTGTAGTTTTGAGATCATGTTTGATTATGAAAGCAAGGTTGTCGCCGCTCTTTGTAGCCTACTTATCGGTTCTTAATCGTGTCCATGGTGGGTGCTAAGATAGTATCTCTATGATTTTATCAAGAACTTATCATAGTTTCTTCTCATGATGATCATGGGTCATGAGTCATGATACTTGGTCAATCCTTCTACTAACCCTGTCCGGTTGAAAAACTACTCCCTGTAGAAGACCTAAAAAGGTCAAATGGTTGGAGAATATAATGAACCTAAACTTGTTAGAGAGGGAGAGAGGACATGCTCCAAATAAAACATGGTTAGAATATCTTAGCAAGAAACATAGGTAACTTGCAAGAAACATGGACACAATGTCCTACAAGAAACATGTGTAGGGCATCTGATTTAGGCGAGGAAAACATGTGATCGTAATGCAAATCATGGTAGAAAGAATAGGGTGACTTAGGTTATTGTTAGAGTAGAACATAGTAGTCTTAGTGGCCTAGCATTTGAGTTTTACTTTCTTGGGGACCAACATATCTTACAAGGTTCTTGACCTTAGAGCGACATCTTATATTCGTAAGTTCTTTCGTTCTAACTCTAAAGTTTCTTCTAAAAACTTAAGGCACAAGCCACAATGTGATATTTTTAAGCTTCATTATAAGCACATAGATCAGAACTATAGACATTTTGTAATTATATGCATGAATCTTTAATAGTATACTAAATAAGCAGCTTACAACATATCATGTCACTCGGAGTTCTTAAAAATCATCAATGTTTAGAAAAGATTCGTGAGGGTTATTTTCATAATTTTCTATCATAGTATTTTCTTATACCCAAACATGTTTTACAAAATTTCAAGTCATATATAATTGTCGACAATTTTATAAATGAGTCTCATATAAAATTTCATATCATTTCAAGTTCGTTAAATACTTAGAAACATCACGAGGTCCTACGTGTATTTTTGTCTCTTTCCACTCCAATCGTGCTTTAGGATCTAAATTTGATCGAATTACGAAGAAATCTTACATAGTCTTTCATATCATTATAATTATCCATAATTTAGATTTTTAAGTCATTTGGAGTCCATTTTAGGCATAAAATATCTTAAACGCATAAAAAAAGTATTTTTGTCATTATTCACCCGCCTTTGTTTGGGGCCTAAACATTCTCGGGTTACTTTGAAATATTTTACAATAATTCTTAACCATAAAAATAGGTATAAGATCCTAAGTAATTTAACTTATATACTTAGTAGGGACATTTTTGTAATGTTATCCCTTCTAATTTGTTTAGGCACTTAACATTCTACTACTCTCACTTGAATGTAGGAAAGGGGTAAATAATCATAAGTATAAGTACAAGTATATACTATCTATTTAATCAAAACACCAACCATACAAAATAAACTGCAAGGAAAATGTGAAGAAAATATTGTTCAAATTATAACAAAATGTTCCAATTCATGTCACCTCAAAGAAAAATAAAACTTCATTTATTCTTAGGTAGTTACAAAATTTGGGTGAATGATAATTTAGACTTATGGTGTTTCTTTAATGTATTTAACGTTACATGTAAGAAAAATCTAAAGAACCGTTAGTTAAGACCCCGAAACAATCAAATTGCTGGAGATGGTTAAAATAACCCGCTAAATAAACTCCGCTGCTTATGAAATTTTAATACTCTGCATATTATAACATGTTGAGAGTAATTATGAAATTTGGTGGCCATTAAATAAGGTTAAGTAGGAAAACCAAGTAACGACTAAAAACGACCATGACCATAGTACCCCTAAGGAAAACTACCTACCGTTCAATCCCTAAATGACCTCCAAATATTATGGGTGGTTGCATGAATCCTTATCTCATGAGTTTGTATAAGGTAGTAAAGTTTGGGGGCCATTGGAAAACATTAGGCAATGAAACCAAGATATGGGGAAAAACATTCATCACGATACATACGGCTTTACCTCCTAGGATGACTAACGAGGTATCCATGAAATAAGGGATTTCCCACATGTACTCTTGGTTGCTGACAAGATTCTACGTGCACAAGATCACATTGGGCGATTCGTAAGGAGAACTCTTAAGTTCCAAACTTGACCCAAACTTGACCCCACATGTTATAAATGATGTTCGATTTTAAGAGTTATATTTGCACATTAGATGAGCATGCAGCGGTTATGAGTATGTTGAATTTAAGGTAGTTACATGGATGTAATTCTATAATAAGTAAAATATTTTTTGTATTTAATTTCT